GAAGGCGTCACGATGGTAGACGTCGCGACACCGGGCGTCGATTTTGAAAATTCGCTCAAAACGTTATCCCAACGGTTTGAGACGCACTCGTGATACTGAGATGGCGTCGCGGCTGATAGCGTCGCGACGCTCGGCGTCGGTTTTGTAGTTCAATATCACTTTAATCTAGTCTTGTCAGATGTAAATTTGGCGTCTTTGAAGCCGTTGCGATGTAGGCGTCGCGACGGCGGGCGTCAGTTTGTTAAAGTCGCTCCCAATGTTATTCAAACTGTTTAAGTCGCCCTCCTGAGGTACTGTAATTTCGTCGCGGAGAATGGCGTCGCGACGCTCGGCGTCGATTTTTCACTTTCGTATGCTGTCTTCTGTGGACTTATCTGCGGTAAGTTTGGCGTATTACGAAGGCGTAGCCACGTTCAGTTTCGCAACGCAAGCGTCTATTGACTATCATTGTGCCTAGTCTTATTCGTTGCAAGCCAAGCATTACGGTGGCTTTAGGATGCGCCAAGGTTATGTTAGGTTGCATTTAGATAGGTTAGCCTAGGTTAGGTTAGGTTGTGTTAGGTTGGGTTAGCTTATGTTAGGTTGGGTTAATTTAGGTTGTGTTAGGTTGTTTGGTTATGTTAGGTTGGGTTGGGTTATTTTAGGTTTACTTTAGGGTTAGTTCGTGTATTGTTTTTAAGTTGGGTTAGGCTAGGTTTTGTTATATTCGATTAGGTTAAGTCTAGTTAGGTTAGGTTATGTTGGGTTGGGTTATTTTAGGTTAGTTTTGTTTATGTTAGGTTAGGTTTTGTTAGTTTAGTTTAGGTTAGGTTAGGTTGTTAGGTTAGACCGTATATATTGAAAGGCGTCGACTATCGTGCCCACCGTAATACATCAGGTTTGACGCCATTTTCTAGCGTCATGTCGCTCGGTATAGGTTTTCTAATTGAGTGCTCGCTGTTATCAGAAACATCATATGTGAATTTGGATTCATTTGAAGGCGTCGCGATGGTATACGTCGCGACGCCAGGCGTCGATTTCTAAGATTCGCTCAAAATGTTATCCCAACGATTAGAGACGCACACGTGTGATACTGTGATGGTGTCGCGGCTAATAGCGTCGGAAACTCGCTCCGTTTCCGTCTTCAGGCGGAAGGGTAAGGTACCTCCATCAGAAACAAAGACGATGGAAAAGTCCAGGTAGCGAATAATATTAACAGCTTCCACAGAGCTCGGATGCGTAAATTATAGTGTTTACGCTGCCAGTGCTATTTGTAGCACAATTTAAATATACCTGTAATTATGCAAGATACTGTTGAATACATTGGGGTCATTTTCCTCGGTCGCTGACCGTACAATCTTTATTTTTTACAGAGTAATTAATGACCGTGGGTATCGAACTGGATAACCACCGATTGGCATGCTATCTCGTGAACATGATTCTCCCTGCACAAGATACGAACGTCTGTTAGCTATGCAATGTGAACATATACATAGTAGCGAGTGAAGTGTATTAACGTTGCAGGTTGAATGCTCTGCTAACACTGAGGTACCATCCGGCCCGATGGCTCGCTTTGCTAGAGAGTAGTCGAGGGCTAGTGCGTATGAAAACCTGCTTCACCACCTCAACTACTCGTCTAGTCGCTGTTGTGTCGTCAGGAAGTACTTCCAGTTATCTCGATAGATATTTTCTCTCTAACACAAACGATATGAAGTACTGACTGTTGACTGGACGATCGGGGTTCGACTCAGGCTCTGGTACCCATTAACTTTACTATTTAAGAGGAAACGGTAACCCTTATTACCCTGCGGATATCGCGGGTGGAATGGGAGCTGCGTCTAGTGTTTCAAGAATGCCTTTAATTTTATGTGCGCTCAAAGTACAAATGTACATACACGTCATTCACCTTATTCCGAAACAATATTTGGATATTTCTTAGCTACATTCACAACTTGTTATCACAGTTGTGTGAAATGTAGTCTCATCCAGTTGATCCAGAGACATCAGAAACCTAAAATTACACGTCGTAATGATTTCCGTCACGCTCTGATATTTTCACGAGGGTTCACAGTGTTCTTCATTGTTCTCCAACTGACCCAAAACACCCCACTTGTGTCTCTGTCCGCTCTAATCCTAACCATTTTTATACATTTCCCTTAATTAATATGGTGTCTCCGAAGGAGACAGACAGAA